GTCACAGGAATGCAGCACAGAGGAGGATGATCAAGGAGGCTTATGAGCAGCAGTACAATGAAAATCTTATCAGGCGTTTTGAGAAGGAGCTTTCTGGGGATTTTGAGGTGAATTTAATAAATTACATTTTTTTTTCGTTCTACACCGTATCATCTAAGAAATTTATTATTATTTTTTTTTCACGATTTTTTTTTTCTTGTTTTTACTGATGTTTTGGACAAATTAATTAGTCATTCTGTCCCAGATTTATATGTTTATGTCATAAATTTTGCTAAGATATTTATAATCGTTTGGTGGGTCATGTTTATTGAGATTGATAGGAATCCTGTATGTATAAAATAGACAACGTCTGAAATCTCTGAATCTCATCTGGGTTTTTGTGATTGAAATTTCCACAGTAGAATGACTATCACCACATCTAATTGGTCGATTTTTTATTTTTTTTTGTTTGTCAAATTTTTTAAAAAATTTCTTTTGTAAAAATTATTTTTTTTTCCTGGATATTTCTGATTTTTTTTTTCAATAATTGATTTTTTTAAAAAAGATGAAAAATAAAAAAAATAATTTAAAAAGCGACCAATAACAATTAAGTTTAGTGGTAGTGATTTTTAGGATGCTAAAACAAAAAACTTTTGTGAAGCATTTAATTAGCCTGGCAAGTTTGGTTTGAGGTCGGATAAATTTGGGTTCATCTAATCGGATATGAGTCAGTTTTAAAATTAATCCAGTATCTAGTTTTTAATCAAAATTGTGGATTATTTTGGGTTGTAAATTTGTTACTAAGGGCTTGTTTATGATACATTATAGGTTCGAATCCCCCTTCTCCATTTGTAGTTATCACGTGTAATGTTATTTGGCTCAATCGGACCAAAAAAAACCTTTTGGACTTGAAGTTTTGTTTTAGTCCTATAAAGTATAGCTTTCACTAATTTGTACATGGTTCAAACTGTGATATTTAGAGAGCTGTGTACCGATGGATGTTGGATCCCATGGACCGGGAGGCTGTTCTAGCCAATGTTGCTCTCAAGAAATCAGACTACCGAGTGATCGTAGAGCTCGCATGCATTCCATCTGCGGAGGAGCTCTTGGCATTCAAGCGGGCCTATCAAACTCGTTACAAGCACAGCTTGGAGGAAGATGTTGCATCTCACTTTTCTGGTGATATGCGCAAGGCAAGTCTTCTGATCACATCCTTGATCATTGCCATTATTAAATTAATTCGTTTTTAGATTGTCATTGGATATCATCATAACATTACAATTTTCGATATTGTTGCAGCTGCTGCTTCTGCTGGTTAGTGTTCACAGGTACGAGAGTGAGGCTTCAGAGCCAAAGCTGGTGGAGGCCGAGGCTGAAATCCTTCACAAGTGTATCAAAGATAAAAATTATAATCATGACGAGATCATAAGGATCATTACCACCAGGAGCAAGGTTCATCTCACTGCTACCTTTTACCGGTACAGAGACGTTTACAGCACTCCAATCACTAAGGTAAATAAGCAACTGACAAATATTTCAAGCAAAAATTGGATTGAAAATTACATTTGTGCTACTTATGACAGCAACTTACGGGCTCAAATTTTCTTTTGATTGTGTAGAGTCTGGCTTCTGATCAAGACAAGGATTTCGTAGCAGCGCTTCAGACTGCTATCCGATGCATCAAGTCCCCTCTCAAGTACCTAGAGAGGGTAATTTCTCTTCTTGCTCTATATGCAAGTGCACTTTATGTTAGAAACATTTTGTTTTGGTTTTACTTGTTATGATGTTAATTTATTCCGTGTTTGCGTATAGCTTGTGACCGAGGCAATTAAGAAGCGTGGAACTGATGAGGATGCTCTTACAAGGGTGATTGTAACAAGAGCTGAGAGGGACTTGGGGGAGATCAAGGAGCTGTTCTACAAGCGAAACAGCGTGACCCTGGAGCATGCCGTGGCTAAGGAGACTCGTGGGGATTACGAGAAGTTCCTCCTTGCTCTTCTGGGAAAGCAGGATTAAACTACATGATCATATAAAACCGCCCTGTAATTCCAGTGTCGTTTTTAGCTATGTTGTGGTAATTTAAGTTGAGCATTATCGTTAGTAAGAAGCTCAACAAGGCTATGTATTTGAACCTTTTGTGGTGTGTTATGTTATGCTGAGGAGTTTAATATATGAATGGATTATCATTTGAACTTTAATTTATTTGGGTACACATCAACTGAGGTAAGGTCTTTTAGCTGTGAGTTTAATTCTTTTAATTTTCATATGTTTATGATGTGGGTTTTAAATTGTTTGAAAGGAAAAGCAATTCCTACAAGTTGTTTATTTGAATAATAGGTCCAATTTTTCACAAAAAGTTCCACTTACTTAAAAGGGGTTCAAATTAGCGAATCTTTCCATTTTGTAGAAAGCGAAACTTTTTAAGATGTACAATGTATAATTTTGTCAACCAAACAACTTTTTGTGCTTTCACTTTCGAGCCTGATAGAGCGCTTTACACGTAATTCCTTATCTCTATCATATACACTACATACACACTTCCACAGGCTACACTACTATGTTGCAAAGGAAACTTCACATGGTGAAGCTGTATGGAAGGGAAAAGTAAGATCTAAACATATAACTAATCGATCTCCTAACTTTGTAGAAAGGAAAAAAAACATGTTGAAGAATAAAGCCTTTAACATATTATTTTTAGCATTACCACTTGTTAATTGAAAATTAGTCTAATTTATAGACCATGAAAGTATCATATGTCATTAGATATTTTTGCTATTATATTCTTTGTACTTGCATAGTTGTATTACTTACGAGCACATTAAAGATGTTTGAAACAACAGAGGTGTCAAATCAGTTGTTTGGGTAGGATTAATATTAAGTTTGTTCTAAATGATTTAAAATCATGGCATATAAATAAGCTTGATATTCAAGTTGAGTTGTCATCCACATTTTAATCAATTTTTAATAACTTTAATTTCTCTTTGTATCATTTTCTCTCTTTTTATTTTTTTATTTTTCCCTCATGCCTAGATTTAGGGTCTGTTCCGATTGACTGAACTCAGCTGAACTGAACTGAACTGAACTGAACCGAGCTGAACTGAACTGAACTGAACTGAACTGAACCGAGCTGAACTGAACTGAACTGAACTTATTAATTAGTGATTTTTAACTACGGATTAGTGATCTTTGATTATTTATTGATTATTTATTGATATTTATTACTATACATATGTGTATATACAAATGTACATATTAAAATATTTACGAAAAATATACTATATAATTATAATTATAAAATGTATGGAAAATATATTATAAAATGTATGGAAAATATATTAAAAACTTGAAACCTCTAAACATTTTAAACACATATACTATTTAATTTATAAATAAACTAGTATTAGGACAAAAGAACACAAAACACTTACATGTATCTAACCCATTTAAACAAATTTTAAATAAAATAATATATATAAAAAAAAAAAAAAAAAAAAAAAAAAACCAACAACACACCCTAACCCACGATGCTCTAAGCCCAAATAAAGAGAAAGAAAAACACTTTCTCCTTCCTCCTGCAGTCACTAGTTCGGCAGTGCCCCAAACAAACAATAGAACCATTTGAACAATGAATTGTATCAATATTATTATTGTTATTATTATTATTATTAATTATTGATAATTATTATTATTATTTATTGATTATTATTATTAGTATTATTAGTATTATTATTATTAATATTATTGTTATTATTATTATTATTATTATTATTATTATTTTTGTTGTTGTTGTTGTCGTTGAATAAGAGTTTAAAAGAATGAAATTTGGCTTTATATCATTAGCAATATCATTAGACATAAATTAAGAGCTGAACTGAACTGAACTGAACTGAACTGAATTTCAACGGAACAGAACAGGCCCTTATCCAAGTGACACAACTAAATTTTCAAGTTTTATAACTTAATGAGCCTTATCAATAACTTAATACTAAAAGCGAAACCAGTGATAACACATGTCATTCATTAGTTAAAAATTTTCCCTCCAATTTTTCTTTCCTTTTTTATTTTATTTTTATTTTTTTATTTTTTGTCTTTTATTTTTATTTTTTTTTTATTTTTTCAATTTTCCAAGAAACGTATTTATAGCCTGTAATACTCTCTTAATGAAATATTCTTATATGTATATATTACAGTAATTTTTGTAATATTCTCCAATATTTTTATAATATTCTCATGCTAATATTATTATTAGGAAAAGTCTTATTTCTATAATAATCTCATGTAATGTATTTTTTTTATAATAGTATTTGATGATTCATTATGTTCCTTAGTTTACTTATATATTATAATAAAAACCTACGACTAGCTCACTCTTTTTTAAAAACTTGATTTTTACATATAAAAAAATAAAGTTTTAATTAAACTTGTATAAACAAATGTGTATGTCAAAATTGTATCAACAAAATATAGATATGATAAGGTATATAGTATGGGTTCTAAATAATCAATAGCCCCAATTTTTTTTTTTTTTTTTTTTTTCATATTTATAAAGTCTAACGCATCAAAATAGCCTTTACATGCATCATTAACCAAAAAAAAGGGTAAAATAAATATTTTTTTTTTTTGAAGTTTATAAATGTAATTGTTAATATATAATTGTTAAATTAATGTTATAGTTTGTTAAATAATTTTATAAAACCCGAGCATGGCACGGGACTTAAACTAGTATAATATAAAAACCAAACTAATTATATTGTTTTATTATTAAATTACTATACTAGTCACATTTCAAACGACCACAATAAAAACATTAGTATATTACGGAGTAATTTTTTTTTTTTTTTGAATAAATATTACTGAGTAATTTGGTTCAACGGAATAATAAAGTGTGAAACTATCTAGTCAAACTTCACGAGATAAACACGTAGAATTGATAGAAAACAAAGAACAATACTTTTCTTGACATCACATAATTAATTTCAAAACATTATAATAAGAGTTTTCAGACAATCAGGTTACCAACTCAATTATTACATGTATAGTGTAATTGGGGACCCTTTTCTTTTATTTAAGAGCGACTTGATCTATCTATCTATTTGCAGTCTTCTATTGCATTCATTCAAATAATCAAAATCTTTTGAAAAAAAAGTGTCAATTTTGCAAAATTACAATGGCTACCCTCGTTGCCCCTGATCATGCTGATCCCATTGCTGATGCTGAAGCTCTTAGAGCTGCTTGTGAAGGTAAATCATCACCATTGATTTTAATTATAATCGTCATCATTTTTATTATTATCATCATCATCATCATCAATTCATCATTTACATTATGTTAATTACGTGTTATCTTTTCTTTTGATGTGTTTTTTAACTCTGTTTTAATGATTTTGATTTCTCTGTTTTGTGGGGTTTTATCATTTCATTCTTAATTTTGATCTTAATTTTTTTGGGGGTAAGGATAGCCGCAAGGGCAAATGATGTAGACGGGATTTGATATTTTGATCTCATATTTAAGTACCGCCCCTCGAGACTTCAATCAATTAAATTAATTGATTATCCACATTTTGATCTTAATTGCGGTCCTATGAACTAAATGCATAACTTGATTAAAGCTTCTTAAGCTGTTAATTGTTAATAGCATTTGATCTTTACATTTGCTACATTGACTTTTTATTGCTACTTTGATATTTGTTAGCCCACCCCAAATCATTTTGGGACTAAGACTTTGTTATTGTTGTTGTTGTGATCTTTGTTATGTCTGAAGCTTAAGTTGACTTTATTTTTATACATCTTATTCTAATTAAAAGGGATTACTTGATGATTAATTATAATCAAAATGCTAATTAATGAAGATGGATTGATTAATATGTTTGGGAAATACAGGATGGGGAACTAATGAGAAGGGAATTATCGAAATCATCGGTCACAGAACTGCAGCCCAGTTGAAACTGATTAAGGAAGCATATGAAGAGATGTACAGTGAAAATCTTATGAAGCGATTTGAGAAAGAGCTTTCTGGTAACTTTGAGGTATAAATTATAAGACCATTTTGTTACTCGCACTCTTCATGTGTTAAGAGTCTTGACACTACGACATTTCATTTTAGGCCACAATCATGTAACATTTTCAAAAAAATAACCGAGTGTAACACTTGGACACGTACCTATGTCTGACACTTAACATGGATGTGGCCCATTATTTCGAAACAATGAGTATCTAGTAGCTCTAAACCTTGCTTTTATGTAATGTAGAAAGCAGTATACCGATGGATGTTGGACCCATGTGACCGAGAGGCAGTTCTAGCTCATAATGCTTTGAAGGAAAAGAAATTCGGAGTTATCATTGAAATTTCATGCATCCCATCTTCTGATGAACTGTTGGCAATCAAGAGAGCTTATCAAGCTCGATACAAGCATAGCTTGGAAGAAGATGTTGCTTCTCATTTCTCCGGTGATCTGCGCAAGGCAAGTCCTTGGATCCTAACCATTGATCATATTGAGTTGGCTAGCTATTGATGTCTTTAGATTGTCATAACTAACAATATTGTAATGTTGAATGTTAGTACAGCTGCTACTTCTGCTGGTTAGTGTTTACAGGTACGACTCATATGAGACTGAAGTCACAGACCCAAAGTTGGTCGAGGCAGATGCTAAAATTCTTGAAGATTGCTTCAAAGATAAGGAATATAACCATGATGAGGTCATTAGGATCCTGACTACGAGGAGCAAGGCTCATCTCGTTTCAACTTTCTTTCGCTATGATAATATCAGTGGCACTCCCCTTGTTGAGGTAAATTAAACTAACAATCATTGACTTGTGAGTTGTGACAGCATTCCTAATTAAACTTTGTGAACTTATATGAACTTGTTTGAATAAATTTTTGTTGTGAGTTGAACTTGAGTAGCCCTTATATAAACTTAGCGGTCTTTGAACTTATTTACTTAGTGTTTTCATATCAAAATTGGTCTTAAGGAGATAATCTAATGCATTTAATTTGATCTGGTCTCCACAGGTTTTGGATTCTGATAAGGAATTTGTCGTAGCACTTCAAGCTGCTATTCGATGCATCAAGTGCCCTCAGGAGTACTTGGAGCAGGTAGCTAAATATTCTACATTTGCTAATCTCTGAAAAATTTAAGTGTTTTCATGTTCAAAAGAAATTGTTTCTGATTATGTGTCTGAACTCTGAATTAATTAGGTTCTGACTGACGCGCTAATGAAGCATGGAACTGATGAGGATGCACTGACTAGAGTCATAGTTACAAGGGCTGAGAAGGATTTGGGAGAGATTAAGGAGCGATTCCACCAGAGGCACAGTAAGACTCTTGAGCAAGTTGTGGCCAAGGAGACTCACTGGGACTACGAGCCCTTCCTCCTTGCTTTGCTCGGAAAGCAGGATCATTAAGCAAGATTAAACATATGACAGTATCAGTGTTATCATTGTTGTCGTCTCTGTTATGAGTGTGTATCTTTTCTTTTGGCTTGTTTTGTGGCCAATCTAAGCGGCTTTGATGTTGCTGAGAGATTTTATAAGGCTTTGTGCAGTCTATGTATTGCTACAAGGCTCTTTGTGCTATGTATTGCTGAGAATAATATCATTTGAGTGTTAATCCCTTCAATGAATTTGGCGTAGCATCAGTTAAATTTCAGATCTAAGAAATGAAGCTTTGGCATAAATTTCATATGAATAGTTGGAGAACAAGTATTAGCTGCACATCAGGATGCATATCAATCCTGATAATAGAAGCGTGGAGCTTTGCTATTCAGCAAACACCTGATAAGTGATAAACCAATTTGACCTTTAGACAAAAGAAACTCAAAGACAACCCACAGTAGCAAGTAAATGGCACCCTTGAAGGGTTGATAAACACATGCTATAACAGAAACAGCTTCAGCATGCCACTTACTGAAAAAACATTCAAAAATATACTACAAAAGAGCTAAATTATGTTTCACAATATTACAGATTACATTTTATTTTGTCAATTCAAGGCGGAATCGACAAGTGAGAAAAGCACACTGGTGTAAATATATGCGTCACATGACATTATATGTAGTCCAAGACAGAGATAGCTAAGCAGAGTGTATTCACCTAATAGGGGCGTTGAACAACAAAGCTGAAGTACAGCTTCAGGCATGGTTTTATACTTTTGTATTTTTTTAACCACTCAGTATTATCAAAGAAAAGTATGAATTAAACACAAAGCATAAAACGAAAGTTTCTATAAAGGTTGCAACAACTAGTATCCACTATCCAGTATTAACTGTAATGAATATACAACACTTCAATATCTGTTCTATGTTCTTTTCCTTCTGTCACTATCCAGTATCTTTGCATTAGCTTTCCCAAGTTCTTTTAAGTATGCATTGAAGTCTGTCAGCTGAGACGAACACTACAAGAGGGGGGTGGATTGTATGTGAGTTCCTATTGACTACTTTTGCGGAATAAAAAATAGAATGTAAAGGAACTTACAATGCACACAGTATTTTACGAGGAAACCTTTTCGGGTCCAACTGGAAGTAAAACCTCGACTCTTCTAAGGGATTTCCATAACCAAACCACTTCACTATAATAGGGCAAACACACAAGTTACAACCTATTATACTCAGACCTTTATTCACAAGTTCCAGACTGAACTTGCTACGCAATAGGACCCTATCCTACCCAATCTAAGTCTCACACTTAGATTCACTCGTACTCTCTAAATACTACCTCTCAGCTTCACACTAGAACCCTACACACCTGTATGCAAAGTATATTTCACACACTCACCCAAGAACCCAACCAATACAAAATACTCGACTCCTAGTATATGAGAAAGGTAAGCTACGCATGAAACCCAAAACTAATATGACAAAGTTATAAGCTTGGTAAACTTACACAATTAAAGCACAATTCGATTTCTTCACGCATAAACTCACATAAAACTATGAAATGAGATTTCTACTATTTATACAAGACTAGCTTGTATATGAAGTAGGGTTTTCAAAAGATAAAAATGTAAAGTTACCAAAATCTCAAAAACACGGTTTTTAAGTAAATCCGTTTAGAAGAAAATCTTTTTGGAAAACTTATCAAAGATAGATTATCATCAAATAATATCTTTTGATAATCAGTTTTTAAGATATAAATCTTTTTAGAAAATCTTTTGGGAAATTCTCTTTGGTGAACTCCAATTTTTTAAATTTCTAAGTGGTAAACATTCTTAAAATTTATTGTCAATGGTAAACCTTAATTAGCTAGCCTAATGCATTGGTAACATTATTGATGATTTTATGTAATTATTTGGCTAACCCTAGTTAATTGCAACACTAATGACTAATCTAACCTCATAAAATAAAATTAATTAAATAATTATTTAAAATAATAATAATAATAATAATAATAATAATAATAATAAACCAAACTCCTCCCTTACCCCACCTAGCCACCACCAGCAGCTCCTCCCTCTGTCGGCGGCCAAGCGCCCCACCATTTCGACATCCAGCCCACCCCTACCCTCGCCGGCACCGGTGACCCATCCCCCCTACCCTCTAAACCCACCACTCGCGCCGGTGACCCATCCCCCTACCCACCACCCGAAACTCCCAAATACCCAACCCCAAACCTTACTCAACCCTCCCCCACCACGTTAAAACCCAAATCCGGCCCTTTCCCACCCTCAAAACCCTGGGCGACGAAGTTTCGAGGGTGGGGGAGGGCCTGATTCGAAGTTTGAAGTGGTTGGGGGAGGGTTTTTTACGGGTTTCGGGTTGGAGATTTGGGGGTTTTGGTTTTCTGGTGGTTTTAGGTAGGGGAGGGGGAGGCTACGTCGCCAGCCAACAGGGTGGGGAAGGCCAAGCGTCTCCGACTAGAAGGTGGCGCCTGGACGCCGGCAAGGAGAGGGTTGCCGCCGGTGGTTAGGGGGTCTGGGAGGAGTTTGGTTTTTGGTTATTTTTTTTGTTTTTTTTGTAAATGGTTGAGTGTAGTAATTAGGGGCTTCTTAGTCATTTCGATTTTTTTTAAAATTTATTAGCTAACCATGATTAAAAAAATCAATTAATTATATCAATAATGTTACCAATGCATTAGTAAAGCTAATTAAGGTTTTCCATTGATAATAAATTTTAAGAATGTTTACCACTTAGAAATTTAAAAAGTTGGAGTTCGCCAAAGAGAATTTCCCAAATCTTTTCTTAAAAACTTGTATTTTTTAACTTTCCTCTTTTAATTATATTTGCCAAGCACTTTGCCATGCTTCTAATAGGTTTCACGCGTAAACATACTCAACATATTTACAGCAAATCTAAAAGATAAAATCTTAACTAAATTAATTTGCTGTGTCAATATTCTATAATCATAGGATACTTGGGCTTCACGCAGTCCAGAACTAAGTTCATGTTGTCACTTGCACTCTAGTTCTGAACTGGAACTTCGCAGGCCAAGTTCTTCCAGAACTTGCTGTCTTCAACGCAGACCAAGTCAACACCTTAACTTGCCGTCTTCAAGTTCCTGTTAGGGAATTTAGTTCTTATTAGTGAACTCTTCTTCTATCTTGTTTAACCTTCCTTAGGAGCCTCTTCATGCCTTCTTAGATTAGGCTACTCTTCCACCTCCAAGGTCCACTTCACCTGTTCTAGTTATACACTTAGAGAAACCTTTATTAGTCGAAGTTTGCTTGAGTTTAAATTCATCAACATCAAAACATTTAAGCTTCAATAAAGTCAAATACTCTGGTCGTGTTGGCAACCCGTAAAATTAACTAGAGCTATTGTGGTAGAAATTATACATTCACTAACTTGAAAATAGAAAAAATTAATTAAAAAATGGAAGAAGTATTATTAACAATTTCCCACAATAGTGCTAGAATAAAAAAAAAAAATTTACATTGTGCGTTGATTTGGAAACTAATTCCCTAGATATTGTCCATGTAGGATCGGTGTTGGGTGTGATTTTTTTTATCCCACCTTAAAACCGCTAATGACAATAACAATTATAGCTTTAAAACCGCTACTGTTATTAGCGGTTTCAGAAAAGAGACCGCCTATTTCAATAAACATGTCTCTTTTCTTCCGGAGATAAAGAGACCTGTCAATAAAAAAGGAAGTCTCTTTTCTGAAATCATGTCTTAGAAAATAACAGGAAAGAGAGCGGCCACATTATTACTGTTAAGTTCAAAGAGACCTAATTTCATTAATAACGGGTCTCTTTGCTTTTTTTTTAAAAAATAAAAAAACCGCTAGCAACATTAGTGGTTTTAAGCCCAACCAAATACCAATCCTACATGGACGGTATTTTGGGAATTTGTTTTTAAATGGATGTATAGTGGGAATTTGTTCTTGTATAACGGGTGAATTTTTTGTGATTGGAAAGTTTAAACTCCCTCTATTCGAACGATTTCCCTTAATATTGTTGAAAAAGAAATAAATTCCCATTATGCTTCATTTAAAAAACAAATTCCCAAAGTACTGTCCAAGTATGATTGATTTTTGGTTCAACTTAAAACCGCTAACGGTATTAGCGGTTTTGCAATTTTTTCAAATAAAGTCAAAGAGACCTGTTTTTATTTAAATGCGGTCTCATTGAACTTATTAGTGTAATTGTCAGCGCTCTCTTTTCTTGTTGTGGGCTAAGAATTAACAAGGACGAAAGAGAACTGTTTTATCAGTAGGCGGTCTCTTTGAAATTGTCTTTTGCAGACTAAGGCTTGTGAATTAACCAAGGACACAAAGAGACCTGTTATTGTTAGAGGCGGTCTCTTTTTCAAAACCGCTAATGATAATAGCGGTTTTAAGTTGAACCAAAAGTAAAAAAAATCAGTTCCCAACATCGATCCTACGTGGACACTATGTAGGGTTATCTATACTAATTTATTAAAAGGCGTTTATAAAAACGTCCATATGCCACGTAGATCCTTTTATAATATGCTAAGTCACTTCACAAATACTTCATGATGCCACATCACCTACCCAATATCTCTTTATGCCACATCATCACCCAAGCAATCCACATTACTTCATACTTGTATATAAAAATATAACTAGTGAATGACCCCAGGCGGTCCCCGGGTTGCTACTGTTGTAGGCATACAATCGATAATTTTTTTAAAAAGGTTTTCAAAACTGCAATTGTTATTGTCAAACCAAAATTGAATTATTCTTTGAATATTATTTTTTTATTTTTATTTTTTAATTAAACCTTGTGGTTTGCATTTATATCAATTTTTTTCCATACAAATAACATAGTTGATATTGGCTTAGATGGTTAAATAGCCATATGTGTTATAACTTATAAGAGGTTGAGGGTTCGAACCTCCTTATCCTTCGGCTATTTCACCAAATGCCACTGAGTACTTAAAAAATTCACCAAATGCCATCGAGCTTTTAAAAAATTCACCAAATGCCATTAATGACTAACGGCCGTTAACTCCGTTTGTCATTAAGATTAAATCATGCCATGTGTCATGATAAGATTGGTTCATTTTAATTATTTATTCTAATTAATAAAAATAATACTTTTCCTTGATTTTCGTGGCAAAAATTGCTCGGGTATAGTTTGGGGGTCATTTTGAACCTTTATGGAAACAAATTAAGCTCAAAATTAACAAAAAAATAACGTAAATGCTCCGTTTAGTGTTTTGAAAAATATTTCGATCAGCGTGTCATTATT